ATACCTGGAGACAAAGGAAAATACGACACACTAAAATCTATGAGATACAGCAAAAGTGGTACTAAGAGGGAAGTTTACAGCAATACAAATCTACCTCAAGAAACAAACAAAATTCCCAAATAATCTAACATTACATCTAAAGGAACTAGAAAAAAAAGAACAAATAAAGCCCCAAATCAGTAGAAGGAAGGAAATAATAAAAATCAGAGTGGAGATAAATGCAATAGAGACTAAAAAGACAATAGAAAAGATCAATGAAACTAAAAGCTGGTTCTTTGAAAAATAAACAAAATTGATAAATCTTTATTGAGCCAGACTCATCAAGAAAAAAAAAGACAGATGCTCAAATAAATAAAATCAGAAATGAAAGAGAAGTTACAACTGACACCACAAAAGTACAAAGGATCATAAAAGACTGCTATGAACAATTATACACTAACAAATTGGAAAACCTATAAGAAACGGATAAATTCCCAGAAACAGACAACCTTCTAAGACAAAACCATGAAGAAATAGAAAACCTGAATAGACTCATTTCAAGTAATGAAATTGAATCAGTAGTTTAAAAACTCTCCAAAAAACAAAAGTCCAGGACTGGATGGGTTTATAGGTGAATTCTACCAAACATTCAAAGAAGATTTAATACCTATCCTCCTAAAACTCTTCCAAAAAATTGAAGGAGAGGGGATACTTCCTAACTCATTCTATGAGGCCAACATTACCCTGATACCAAAATCAGATAAGGACAACACAAAAAAGGAAAATTACAGGCCAATATCCCTGATAAACATAGATGCAAAAATCCTCAACAAAATATTAGCAAATCCAACACAACAACACATTAAAAGGATCATACACCACAATCAAGTGGGATTTAACCCCAGGGACAGAAAGATGGCTCAATATCCACAAATCAATCAACGTGATACAACACATTAACAAAATGAAGAATAGAAATCACATGATCATCTCAATAGACACAGAGAAAGAACTCAACAAGATACAGCATCCATTTATGATAAAAACTCAGTAAAATGTGTATAGAAGGAAAGTATCTCAACATAATAAAAGCCATATATGACAAACCCACAGCTAACATCATATTCAATGGTGAAAAACTGAAAGTTATCCCTTTAAGAACAGGAACAAGACGAGGATGCCCACTTTCACCATTCTTATTAAAAATTGTGTTGGAAGTCCTAGTCAGAGCAATCAGGCAAGAAAAAGAAATAAAAGGGATCCAAATTGGAAAGGAAGAGGTAAAACTGTCACTCTTTGCAGATGACATGATTTTATATATAGAAAATCCTAAAGAATCCACAAAAAAACTACTAGAAATAACAAACAAACACAGTAAAGTTGCAGAGTACAAAACCAACATACAAAAATCAATTGTGTTCCTATACACTAACAATGAAATAGCAGACAGAGAAAATAAGAAATCAATCCAATTTATAATCACAACAAAAAGAATTAAATATCTAAAATAGCTAAGAATAAATTTAACCAAGGGGGTGAAAGACTTGTACACTGAAAACTATAAAACATTGTTGAAAGAAATCGAAGAAGACATAAAGAAATGGAAAGATATTCCATGTTCATGGATTGACAGAATTAACATATTTAAAATGTTCATACTATCTAAAGTAATCTACAGATTCATTGTAATCCTTATCAAAGTTCCAATGACATTTTTCATGGAAATAGAACAAAGAATCTTAAAATTTATACAGAAAAGCAAAAGACCTCAAATAGCCAAAGTAATCCTGAGAAAAAAGAACAAAGAGATAGCACACTCCCTGATTTCAAAGTATACTGCAAAGCTATAGTAATCAAAACTGCATGGGACTGGCACAAAAAGAGACACACAGATCAATGGAACAGAATTAAGAGCCCAGAAATAAACCCACACATCTATGGACAGCTAATTTTCAACAAGAAAGCCAAAAACATACAATGCAGAAAGGAAAGTCTCTTCAATAAATGGTAGTGGGAACACTGGATGGCCACATGCAAAACAATCAGAGTAGACCATTATCTTACACCATACACAACAATTAACTCAAAATGGATTACAGACTTTAATGTAAGACCTGAAACCATAAAACTCCTAGAAGAAAGCACAGGCAGTACACATTTTGACTTCAGTTTTAGCGGTATCTTTCTGAATATTACCTCTCCTCAGGCAAAGGAAACAAAAGAAAAATAAACAAATGGAACTACATCAAACTAAAAAGCCCTGCATGGCAAAAGAAAGCATCAACAAAACAAAAAGACAGCCTACCAATTGGGAGAAGATATTCGCAAACCATATATCCAATAAGGAGTTTATATCCAAAATATATAAAGAACTCATATAACTCAACAATAAAAAAACAAAAAACCCATTTAAAAAATGGGCAGAGGATCTGAATAGACATTTTTCCAAAGAAGACATACACATGCACAAGAAGCACATGAAAAGATATTCAGCATCACTAATTATTAGGGAAATGCAAATCAAGACCACAATGAGATAACACCTCAAGAAATAACAAGTGTTGGAGAGGATGTGGAGAAAAGAGAATCCTCATACACTGCTGGTGGGAACATAAACCGGTGTAGCCACTATGAAAAACAGTATGGAGAGTCCTCAAAAAATTAAAAATAGAACTACCATATGGTCTAGCTATTCTACTCTTGGTATTTATCCAAAGAACACAAAAACACAAATTCAAAAAGATATATGCAGGGGCCGGCCCCGTGGTAGAGTGGTTAAGTTCGTGCGCTCCACTACGGGGGCCTGGGGTTTTGCCTGTTCGGATCCTGGGCACAGCCATGGCACCACTCGTCAGGCCAAGCTAAGGCGGCGTCCCACATAGCACAACCAGAGGACCTACAACTAGAATACGCAACTATGTACTGGAGGGTTTGGGGAAGGAAAAAAAAAAGATTGGCAACAGTTCTTAGCTGAGGTGCCAATCTTAAAAAGAAAAAAAGACATATGCACCCCTACGTTTATTGCAGCATTATTCCCAATAGTCAAGACTTGAAAACAACTTAAGCGCCCATCAACAGATGAATGGATAAAGAAGACGTGGTACACGGCTGGAGTGGTTAAAGTCTCGCGCTCCACTTCAGCAGCCCAGGGTTTCACCGGTTTGGATCCTGGGCGCAGACACAGCACCACTCATTAACCCATGCTGAGGCAGCTTCCCACATAGCACAACCAGAAAAATCTACAACTAGAATATACAACTATGTACTGGGGTGCTTTGGGGAGAAGAAGAAGAAACAAACAAACAAAAGATTGCAACAGGTGTTAGCTCATGTGCCAATCTTTAAAACAAACAAAAAAAGATGTGGTACATACATACAATGGAATACTAATCAGCCATAAAAAAAGATAAAATCTTGCTATTTGGGACAATATGGATGGACCTTGAGGGTATTACGCTAAATGAAATAAGTCAGATGGAGAAGACCAAACATCATATGATTTCACTCGTATGTGGAAGATAAAACAACAACAACAAACACACAGATACAGAGAATAGGTTGGTGGTTACCATGGGGGAAGGAGGGTGGGGTGAGGGCAAAAGGGGCAAAGAGGCACATTTGTACAGTGATGGATGGCAACTAGACTTTTGGTGGTGAACATGATGTAGTCTATACAGAAGTCAAAATATAATGATGTACACCTGAAATTTATATAATGTTATAAACTAATGTTACCTCAATAAAAAAAAACTCTATAGTAACAGAAAGCACGTCAGCAGTTTGAGGTCAGGTTTGGAGAGAATTGACTGGGATGGGATACAAAGAATCTTTCTGAGGTGGTTAAAATTTTCTGTATCTTGACTCTGGTGATGGTTCCATGAGTGCATAAATTTGTCACCACTCATCCCACTGTACAATTAAAACGGGTACTTTTTATTGTATGTAAACTAAACTTTAATAAAGATTTTTAAAAAGTTAGTCATCCTTAAAATTAATCAAAGATGGAAAAAGGGATGGATTGATGGATAAATATACGATTAAGCAAACATAGTAAAATATTATAATCTAGGTGGTGCTCTTCATAAAATGCCTTCAACTTCTTTGTATGTTTAAAATTTTCATAATGAAATGTTGGAAAAAATTAGAATTTCTAAATTGTACATTAAGAATAAAATCTAAACAGTCCATAGAAAGGGAGAAGATGATGAAACAGAAGCCTAGTTTCAACCAATAGAACAAGGTCCCTTCATGAGGTAGGAATCTTTTCTCATTCAGTTTTTTTTCTGCACTGCTGCCAGAATTATCTTTCCAAATTTCAGATCCAAGCATGTTACTTCCATGGCTAAAAACCGTTAAAGGAAAGTACAAACTCTCAAGCAAAAATACCTGAAGATTTTCCCATGTGGCTTCAACTCATATTTCCAATTTCATATTCTAAACCTGCCGTGTACTATATTCTTATGTTATCTATTCTTCAGCTATTTTGGTTCATTTGATGCTCTCTGAACACCTCTAAACACTTTTGGCCTTTGTTCACATTACATTCCCTCTCTTCTCCACCTTTAAACACCTACTTCAAACCCTACCTCACTTTTCACTTCTTCAAGAAACCTTCACCAATTTCCCAAAACAAAAGCAATCATTCCCTCTTCTGTGCTTCCACCACACTTTGTTCATATCTCTATTCCAGTACTTATCGCAATATATTATAGTTGTTATTTCTAAGTCTGGCTTACAAGCCAAATATAAGCTCCTGAGGACAATGTTTATGTATTATTTATTTTTGCACCACCAAAATCTTGCTAGGTATCTCAATGTGATAAAGAAATTTTTGCTGAATCAATGAATGAATAAATAAATGACTAAAGAAATTATGAGGTGAACCTATAAGTTTACTAAAATAATGCTTTGAATAAGAAATTTTATTAACTTTAATTGAAGCATTTATTTTCTACAATAAAAAGTGCCTAATTTTAAAAAGCAATTCAAAGGGCATCAATGAGAAAAGAATTACCACTTACCTCTGTGTATTCATCAAAAGTATGATCTTCTGCCTGAAAAGTCTCTATCAGGTCAACTGCAGTCCCATCAAGGAGCCAATTATATTTTTTAACTGAAAATTAATAACCTAATTTAAATCTCAATGATATCTTTTAAAAAAGATAAAGTATTTTTTATATGGTCATGGAATGGAGTAGCCTATTCAATTAAGTATTATTATTAATAAAGTATTAACATATGTTAATAGGAATAGGCAGCATAAGATAAAATAGACATAACAAGCAAACCAGGTTAAACACAGACATTTTAAAATAAAGATAATAGGGTATGTAATAATCTTAAAATAAGTTATAGGTACAGGTAAGTCAGTTAATAAAAGGTTTTGGTTAATAGAACTTCAAATAACTATTTATCCTGACCCCAAACACACTTGAGGAGACTATAAAATTGAGCTGCAAGCTCTTCAAAACTATTCTTAGAAATTACCTTGCCTTCACTCCCAATTTGGCTTTCTCCCTATTCTAACGTATCTTCTTTCTACCTTTTGGCCTTATCATCCTGCTCCAGTTAATATTCACCCTTTGGACTGGACAATAGAATTCAAGTTTCCCAGGTTTGATCCTTGACTCTACCAAAAGCCATGCCTATTCTCACTTCTGGCTCTCTCTGCTCTTTCATGACAGTCCCAAACAACCAATTATCTGACCGAATTCTAGTAAAAATAAAATGGCATTCTCTTATGATTAAAAAAGGTATAATATTATATGTCATATATACCATATGTCTCATAATGTTTTCTTGCACCTTCTAAGTTCTGATGTATTGCCACCTTCAGCTTATCAAGAGCCCACTGTAACACATGTTCAGGAAGTTCCGTGTCAAGATTTACAGGTGTTGAAGTTCCTGACAGCCAAGAGGGTACTGTTTGAACATTCTAACATAAATAAAAATGACAATTTATGAAATAATTGTGCAATTGGTCTATATGTAGATCTTATACTCTATTTTAAATATTCTTTTCAGATTTCAATGGCCCAAGAAAAGATAACTTGATGAAAAATAATGATTTAAAATTGTATAGTTTGTAGTCTAATATAAAACTTAAGTTGGGTTAGTTTTCTATCATTCAACAAATATTTGTTGAATAACTATAACGTCAAAGTGATTATATTAGAAAGCTCTAGAAAGAGCAAACATGACTTGGATCTTGTCCTTAAGAAGCTCACAACTCAGTAGGGAAGATGAGACACACATAAAAATATCAACTCATAACTATAATAAAATTTCTAAGAAGGACTATATCTCCAGCCAGGAGATTTTCTCAAAGAGAAAGCACTTTTAACTTAAAACAACTTGGAGGATGAAAATAAAACAAAAAGTTATAACATTTTATGTACACATACACTTTATAGAGCTCCAACTCAATTTAAAATTCTGAAAAAGAGCCATATAAAGAAACCCAGTGGATAAAGATGAAGGAATACCTGCAGAGTTTCAGCTATTCGCTCTACCAAACCCAAAACAGCATCTTCCAAATCTTGAAAGGTAGGGTAAAATTCCATTTTGTCATCATCAAACGTCAATTCCATCTTAAATATTGGCAGCCCTTGTTGATCTTCTCGATCAAAAAGTTTTACAAATCCTTCTACAGTTCTTTTTAAGAGATCCTTTAGCTGCGTGACATCATAAATTACTATTATATTAGAAAATACAAATTCTACCTTTAACTAAAATCAGTGAACTATTGTCTATAATTAAGTCATAATATCAATCCATTTAGTCCTGAAAATTATCTTCATTCAAATAATCATAGTTTCTTAAGGGGATAAAGGTAGAAAGAAAATCATGTATATTAATTACAGTGTCACATACTAGATATCAAATATATATATATTATCCTTTTAAAGATACATTGCAAAATTCACAGAAAATCTTTGAAGATCTTTACCACAAGGGAAAATTTTTATTCAAAACTATTTTTCCAGAATTGTATCTCTACAATAGAAAAAATCTGAGGAGCCCATAAATATAATTGCAGAAAATTAATGTTCTCTTTCTGTTTGTCATTTAAAGATGATCAATGACATTTCAAACCAAGATTTTAGTGAGAATGAAATGAGAATCAATCAACTTGCAATTTCATGAGTTCAAAGATGTTTACTAGGATAGTCATTTTATTAATATATTCCAATAAAGCTACAGATAATTACCTTATAGCTTTTAAGAATGAGCCCAATAATTCCTCATAATATTAACACATACTTCTAGACTTTCCTCTCATTTTAGATTGCTTCAGAAATGAAGCATTTTTCTGCTAACTTTATGTAAATAAAATTATAGTAAAAATGTTTTTCTTAATTTATTTCAAAATAATTATCACTATGTCTAAATAGAATTTTATTTAAAATATTAAACTAATTTTAATAACATTATCATTTAAAATATATAAAATGTGTTTACCTGATTTGACATAAGTGTGGAAACACAGTTATAAAATGCATCCAATTTTTCAGGTTTAATGCCTTCTAGTGCCTCCTTCTTGGTAAAGAGACTTATAACTTTTGGATACCATGTGTTCATTATCTTCTCTTCTGCCTTTTTAGCTTGTAGTGATAGATCAGTTTTCAGGGCTTCACAATCAATTGGGCCTTTAGCTCTATTAATGAGAAAAATAAAAATGACCTAAAGCAACTGATATGGGTCTTGATACACAATTGTTGAAACAAGTAAGATAAATTAAAAAATTTTTTAATTCTAAAGAAAAGTTCTAAAGATTTATCAATCAGTTTTAAAAATTATACAGTCAAAAATATAAAAACTCAAGCAGGAGACATTCAAATTTCAAATGTCAATTAATAAGCATGGGATTTTACCTAATTCCTGTTAAGTCCAGCAAAACTGTATTGGCAAATGTCTTATAACCAAGGTCCAGTAACATTTTCATAGTTGGATGAACAATGTGCAAATTAGCTAATATTTGATTTCTTGTCTGCACATAGCTAGAATGCCAAGGATTAGAATAATCCAGGCCTCTGGAAAAGCAAAATACCATGTCAAACAGGATTCAAACAATACACTCTAAATTTTAGGAAATAATATTTATGACATGAAATTAGTATTAAAGTGAAAAGACTGGGGATTGAGAAGAGGGAAATGTAGTCAACAATGGGAGCCTTGGGAGATAAGCATATAATAAAAATACATCAAGATCTTAAAAGTGAATTTTCTTCAGAGAGAACAGAGATCATTTGAGGGTAAGGCAGGCTGATGGGCCAGGCATGAATGCCCTGCTTACTTCCACTTCTGGCTCAGTAACCCCAGGTAGAGATAAACGAACTTAGACCTTAGGAGTGGGGAGAAGAGATGGAGAAATCTGTTTGGCATACAGTGAAGCTTACTTAGGGCCAAGTTGAACTATACAGCCATAAAGGTTCCCCTAACTGTCTAAGCAACCACTAGACAAGTACAGTGTTGAGGATACCTTTGGCGACAAAAACATTAGTACTATGTTTTTAGATTTGTTCAAAATATCTTTGAGCTTCACAATTGTAGACATGAACGTAAGATCAGTTTATTTTCAATCTGCTACCAAACCCTAGATGCAATACTGTTTTTAAAATAATTTACTTACACAGGGGATTCAGGTAAAGGCCCACCTTCATCTTCAAGCCATTTAACTGGAGGTTTCACAAGAACACTCCGCACTAAAACACACACACATATACATATATATATATATATATAAATGAATACTTCTTGAAAAATCCTTGCAAAACCTACTCAAATCAAAGTTTCTAACTTTTGATATTCGATGGTATAGTTTACTGTGCATTAAAATGAGTATACAAAAAAATTTCTTTATTGGAAACAAAATCAAGCTCTTAGTACTATTTTGGCCTTACTTTGGAGGTGAACTCAGATACAGTAAAGCTTCAATAAGTTCTCAGTTTCTCACATTCTATCTACTCAAAGGTCACTGGCATAGCCACTTAAGAAATTTTACTTCAGACTCATCAAAAAAAAAAGAGAAGCCTCAAATAAATAAAATCAGAAATGAAAGAGAGGAAATTACAACAGAAACCACAGAAATACAAAGTTTATAAGAAAATATGTGAAAAGCTATATGCCAACAAATTGGATAATCTGGAATAAATGGATAATTCTTAGAATCATACAACCTTCAAAAACTGAATCAAGAAGAAATAGAGAATCTGAATAGACCAATCCCTAGTAAGGAGATCCAAACAGTAATCAAAAACCTCCCCAAAAAACAAAAGTCCAGGACAAGACAGCTTCCCTGGTGAATTCTACCAAACATTCAAAGAAGATTTAATACCTATCATTCTCAAACTCTTCCAAAAAATTTAAGAGGAGGATATGCTTCCTAACTCATTCTATGAGGCCAACACTACCCTGATACCAAAACCAGACAAGGAAAACACAAAAAAGGAAAATTAGAGGTTAACATCACTGATGAACACAGACACAAAAATCCTCAACAAAATGGTAACAAATTGAATACAACATACATTAAAAAGATCATACACCATGAGCAAGTGAGATTTATTCCAGGGATGCAAGGATGGCTCAATATCCACAAATCAATCAACGGGATACAACCCAATAACAAAATTAAGGATAAAAAGCACATGAACATCTCAATAGACACAGAGAAAGCATTCAACAAGATATTGCATCAATTTATGATAAAAACTCTGAATAAAATGGGCATAGAAGGAAAATATCTCAATATAATAAAGGCCATATATGACAAACCCACAGCTAACATCATACTCAACAGTGAAAACTGAAAGTTATGCCTTTAAGAACAGGAACAAGGGGCCAGCCGCGTGGCCAAGTGGTTAAGTTTGTGTGCTCCATTTTGGTGGCCCAGGGTTTCACCAGTTTGGATCCTGGGCGCGGAACTAGCACCACTCACCAAGCCATGCTGAGGTGGTGTCCCACATAGCAGAACCAGAAGGACCTACAACTAGAATATACAACTATGTACTGGGGGGCTTTAG